ATCGACTCATCGACCATGTCCTACGGAAATTGTGATTTGAAAAATGTCCAGAAAACACTATTATTTGGAGGGGTACAGTCACATTTTGGCGTCATTCATGTAAATTAAATTTTTGTTCCAATTCGGCCAAAAACCTTACTTACCTATTCCCCACAATAAAGTGAACCCATGTCAGAGAAATATTTGAGAAAAGGATCCAATTTGGATGACACATCATGAGTAATTCTCTTTTGTGAGTGCCCACCTCCCGATATACTATCAAGCAAACTCACTTCGCTAAGCTGTGGCTCAGCTGACGATAATAGTATTCCACTCTTTAACCAGCGTGCGGTGTATCCTTCCTATTTTGAATGGTCGTTTATGACAAATGAATCATTACCAATTTGAGCGCCACAATGTTTCTATTCAACATTTTACACATTTTTTTTCTATAATTTCTTTGTTAATTTTAAACCAAATAAATGAACATTGGCTACACTGCAAAAAAAAAGTTCCATTTTATCATACTAAAGGTGAGCAACGAGGTTAAATGGTATGTAAAAACGAACCTTCTCTTTTTCCAAACTATTACATCATTTTTTAAGAACAACAAGAATGCCTTTAATCTTCAAAGGTTTCCTTTTGACATGTTGGGGTTAACGCTTTTACATATATTATACGACAACCTTGGACACATACATAGAGTTATCAATGACGGTCACACGGCATATATTTTTCACGCTTAGATATTGTCACTATATTGGATGTTATTTGTTATTGTCTAGTAATTTATGTATGTAGGTTATAGTACTGTAAAAGTAACTTAATTGAATAAACTCATCACATAATATACTTAATAGTGCTTAGTATGTTGCTTAGTAACTAGTGTACAGGTGTACATGAATCAGGTCATAGTTTAATGTGCAGTGTGCTGGTATGCGAATGTGAATTGGAAGTTGGTGGTATGCACTTACATGTGGGTGTATGGAGGTTTATAAGAGTAGGCTGGAGTGATGAATAGAACTGCTTTTGCGATGCAAAGTAGGTCAGTGTGCTTGGTAATTCTGCAGTGTGATGTGGTTAGTTGTCCATCAGTTGTATAGAAGTGAGCAATCCTGCAATTCTACTCGTGGTGACTCGTAATTTTAGTATCAACTGGCAAGGCGTTCAGGCTTTGAGTTGGTGGGAGTCAGTGGTGACTTTGCTGTATTAGGTCAGCCAAGTATATAGAGTAGAGGTCTGCCAAATTGGTTTTGCAGCTTGAGGATATTCCTGAGACTTGGAGATTCCACCTTTTGGTGAGGGAGATGGACAAGACGCCAGCACATAGAAACTGTAAGTTGAGAATTCAGTTTAATCGTTTCTTAGTAGTTCATTCAACTGTACCGGGTACGGTAGCCCGATTGAATACATCCATATTATTAGTCTCCGTTCCGACGCAGTCCGAAAACGGGGACTTATGTTTTGCCCTGTGTGTGTCCGTCCGTCCGTCCGTCGTGCGT